TGAACACAAGTTATTGTCTGGTCCCTAGAATAATGCTTGTTTTTTGGCCCCTTTTTGGCCCCAAATTCTTAACGTTTAGGGCAATTACCCCAAAACTCAAAGTTGAAACCCAGCTTTCCCTTAGTGATATGGAACCTTGCAGTACAATTTCATCAAGATCCATACACTTACACACAAGTTATTGTCCTGAAACTAGAAAAATGCTTGTTTTTTGTCCCTTTTATGGCCCCCAATTCCTAAAATTTTGAGGGAATTACCCCCAAAATCAATTCCAGCCTTCCCTTTGTGGTATGGTACCTTGCAGTACAATTTCAGAGAGATCCATACACTTGAACACAAGTTATTGTCTGGAAACTAGAAAAATGCTTATTTTTGGCCCCTTTTTTGCCCCTTATTCCTAAACGTTTTGGGCAATTACCCCCAAACTCAATTTTAGCTTTCCCTTTGTTATATGGAACCTTGTAGTACAATTTCATAAAGATCCATACACTTACACACAAGTTACTGTCATGAAACTAGAAAAATGCTTGTTTTTTGCCCCTTTTTGGCCCCTAAATCCAAAAATTTGGAGGCAATTACCCCAAAAATCAATCCCAGCATTCCCTTTCTAATATGGAACCGTGTGGTACAATGTCAGAGAGATCCATATACTAACACACAAGTTATGTCTGGAAGTCACAAAAATGCTTATGTTTAGCCCCTTTTTGGCCTAATTCCTTAACTGTTGGTACCATAACCCCCAAAATCAATCCCCACCTTCCTTTTGTGGTATTGAACCTTATGGTAAAATTTCATAGAGATCCATTCACTTAAACTAAAGTTATTGTGCGAAAACCAATGTGTCTTTGGATGATGACGACTACGACGACGACGCCAACATCATACCAATATACGACCTCAAAATTTTTTTGCGGTCTTATAAAAATGGAAAATTCTAAAGAAAAAAAATCCCCCCCCCCCTAAATTTTTTGAACCCCCTTATGATTCATCACCCCAAACTCAATCCCAGCCTTCCCTTTGTGGTATGGTTACATTGCAGTACAATTTCAGAGAGATCCATACACTTGAACACAAGTTATTGTCTGGAAACTGTAAAAATGCTTGTTATTTGGTCCAAAATTCCTAAACTTTAGGGCAATTACCCCCAAACTCAAACCCAGCTTTCCCAATGTGATATGGAACCTTGTAGTACAATTTCATAAAGATCCATATACTAACACACAAGTTATTATCCTGAAAGTAGAAAAATGCTTGTTTTTTGCCCCTTTTTGGCCCCCAATTCCTAAAATTTTGAGGCAATTACCCCCAAAATCAATCCCAGCATTCCCTTTGTGGTATGGTACCTTGCAGTACAATTTCAGAGAGATCCATATGCTTGAACACAAGTTATTGTCTGGAAACTAGAAAAATGCTTATTTTTGGCCCCTTTTTGGCCCCTTATTCCTAAATGTTTTGGGCAATTACCCCAAACTCAATTCCAGCTTACCCTTTGTGATATGGAACCTTGTAGTACAATTTCAGAGAGATCCATACACTTACACACAAGTTACTGTCATGAAACTAGAATAAAATGCTTCTCTGGGGCGCAGCTTGATACGACCGCAGAGGTCGAACCCTGAACAGTTGGGGCAAGTATGGACACAACATTCAAGCTTGATACAGCTCTGAATTTGGATTGTTATTAAATATTTGACACAGCATAGGTTTCTGACACAGAAAGAATGTGGTCTAAGAACTTGAATTTTTTTTAATTTACCTATTATGGTCCAATGTCCAAAATCAAAATACATGGTTAGATTCAGCATATCAAAGAACCCCATATTTTCAATTTTTGTTGAAATCAAACAAAGTTTAATTTTGGACCCCAACTTGGACAAACTTGAAAACTGGGCCCATAATCAAAAATCTAAACACATGTTTAGATTCAGCATATCAAAGAACCCCAATAATTCAATTTTTGCTAAAATTAAACTAAGTTTAATTTTGGACCCTTTGGACCTTAATGTAGACCAATTTAAAAAAACGGGACTTAAAATTAAAAATCTAAATACACAGTTAGATTTGGAAAATCAAAGAACCCCAATAATTCAATTTTTGATGAAATCAAACAAAGTTTAATTTTGGACCCTTTTGACCTCAATATGAACCAATTTGATAGCGGGGCCCACAAATAAAAAATCTAAATTCATGGTTAGATTCAGCATATCAAAGAACCCCATATATTCAATTTTTGTTGAAATCAAAAAAAGTTTAATTTTGGACCCCAACTTGGACCAACTTGAAAACTGGGCCCATAATCAAAAATCTAAACACATGTTTAGATTCAGCATATCAAAGAACCCCAAGAATTCAATTTTTGTTAAAATCAAACTAAGTTTAATTTTGGACCCTTTGGACCTTAATGTAGACCAATTTAAAAAACAGGACCCAAAATTAAAAATCAAAATACACGGTTAGATTTGGAATATCAAAGAACCCCAATAATTCAATTTTTGATGAAATCAAACAAAGTTTAATTTTAGACCCTTTTGACCTCAATATGAACCAATTTGATAACGGGGTCCACAAATAAAAAATCTAAATACATGGTTAGATTCAGCATATCAAAGAACCCCATATATTCAATTTTTGTTGAAATCAAACAAAGTTTAATTTTGGATCCCAATTTGGACCAACTTGAAAACTGGGCCAAAAATCAAAAATCTAAATATATGTTTAGATTCAGCATATCAAAGAACCTCATGTATTCAATTTTTGCTAAAATCAAACAAAGTTTAATTTTGGACCCTATGGACCTTAATGTAGACCAATTTGAAAACTGGACCCAAAATTAAAAATCTAAATACACTGTTAGATTCGGCATAACAAATAAATAAATGTGATCAAAGATTTTACAAATCTAATGCGCCATACTGTGCAATTAAAGATTACTTCTTGAAATTTTTCAATATTTGAAATTTGAAAAAAAAATAATATTTGAAGAATAATTCTTTTTAATTTCTGAAATCTGAAATGAGAAAAAATTGACCCCCCACAATTTCTTTTTATCCCCCCCCCCCCCTTTTTTCCCCAAAAAAATTCTTTCCCTCAAGATATGGTCATAATCTCAATTCAAATTTCCAATGGAGTTGGCAACCATAATTACCCATTTAAATTTACCATAGTGCTAACTTAATCTATTTTATAATAGAATTAAAAATATAGTGTCAAATCTTTCATATGGATTTTTTTGTAAAAAAAAAAGATGCAACATTTGCAGATATTTTTACTGGTCTTCCTTTATAAATATGTATTTCTTTAAACATAATTTAAAAGCAGTGTAAGGGAAGTAACCAAAACGTTGTATTTGGATTACCTCCCTTACACTGTTTTAAATTATCTTTATTGTTCATTAACCATTACTTTATACATAATTTAAAAGCAGTGTAAGGGAGATAATTTCAATGATGTATTTGATTTATCTCCCTTACACTGCTTTAAATTATGTTTTGTACTAAAGTATTTGTCCATTAACCAGGACAACCTTGTTTTTCCCCCTTTTTTGCCCCTAATTCCTAAACGGTTTGAACCATAACCCCCCAAAGCAAATCCTAACCATCCCTTTGTGGTATGGAAACTTGTAGTATAATTTCAGAGAGATCCATACACTGTTCCACAGTTATTGTCTGGAAACTAGAAAATGCTTATTTTTGGCCCCTTTTTGGCCCCTTATTCCTTAACTGTTGGTACCATAACCCCCAAAATCAATCCCAACCTTCCTTTTGTGGTATTTAACCTTATGGTCAAATTTCAAAAAGATCCATTCACTTAAACTAAAGTTAGAGTGCGAAAACCAATGTGTCTTCGGACGACGACACCGAACGACGACGACGCCAACGTCATATCAATATACGACCACAAAATTTTTTTGCGGTCGTATAAAAATGCATGTTTTTTGCCCCTTTTTTTGCCCCTAATTCCTAAAATTTTGAGGCAATTACCCCCAAAATCAATCCCAGCATTCCCTTTGTGATATGGAACATTGTCGTACAATGTCAGAGAGATCCATACACTAACACTCAAGTAATTGTCTGGAAGTTACAAAAATGCTAATTTTTGGTCCATTTTTGGACCCTAATTCCTTAACTGTTGTTACCATAACCCCCAAAATCAATCCCAACGTTCCTTTTGTGGTATTGAACCTTATGGTGAAATTTCATAGAGATCCATTCACTTAAACTAAAGTTATTGTGCGAAAACCAATGTGTCTTTGGACGACGTCGACGACGCCGGATGACGACGAAGACGATGCCAACGTCATACCAATATACGACCGCCAAATTATTTTGCAGTAGTATAAAAAGGAGTCCCTTATCGAATGGCAAAATCAAAAGCTCAAACACATCAAATGAATGGAAAACAGCTGATTTGGTCATGTTGGTACATACTTTGTACTTTGACTTTGTTATGCCTTTTTTACTTTTTTATTTGTGCATCACTGGTGGATGTTTTGAAGATGAAGTGTGTTTGGTGTACAAAAATTCTAATACACCTTATTGCTATTTGTCCGCCATTACTGGACATCACAAAAGTTCCCGTAAAATTTTGACGTCATAATAGAAAATATCTGACGCCACAATGGAAAAGTGATTGTTGTATGACGTCAAAAGTTCAAGCAGGACAGATTCTCAGGTCAAACGGGAATAGCGATAAGGTGTATCCTGGTACATAAGATGAATTCATTGCTCAAATTGTGTCAATCATAGGCACTAGATGTTCTGTCAATATTATATACATGGACACTATTTTCTTCCCACTGCCCATAGTTTATTACTATTGTCAGAACGTCTAGTGTCTGTGTGTCATCAATATATCATATCCCTGTGCTGTTTGTGTTTATAAATGTATTTCTTGATCTCATTCATGTTACAGAATATGACTTAATTAAGATGATATGAATCTGGGACTACTATAAAATATAGTAGTAGTCCCAGTATGAATAAATAAACAGTCGTAATTACGATTTGTATTCAGTATTTAGATGTTTTGATATCGAGAACGTCATTCGCTGGAGGCTGACATTTTGGGGAAGGTCTAAAAACAGGACAGATAAAACCAGGACAGATATTTTCGATACGTTTTCATCTGTAACTTTTGTTTTAACCAACATATTGTTAAAATTTAAATTGTATAATAAAGAACAGGGTATATACTTACATTATTTGTAAAAATATTTAAAATAAAAAAATAATAAGTTAAAAAAAATCTGCCAGGACAGTTAATTTTCAAGAAAAAAATGACCGAAATTGCCGAGAAAAATTTACTTATAATTGAAATAATTTCTCCAAAACAACTGTCTGGCATAATATTTTTGTACGATTATAAAGTTTAGGGAATACTCATTCTAAAAATCTAGAATTTAATATTTTTTTCGATTTTTAAAGGTAAAAAAATCTGCCAGGACAGTAGCCTATTACGTTAGAAATTTTGTTGAAATCAGCTCAAAATCAAAATATAAAGTTAAATATCTTCTTCAAAATGAATGTCTGGTAAGCAAATTTTGATTCATTGGAAAGTTTAGAATATAAGCTTTATGAAAATATAAAATTATGTGAACTTTTATTTTATTAACACAAAAAAAATCTGCCAGGACAGTAGCCTACTCCGTTAAATTTCTGTTTAAATGGCGGAAATTAACAACGCAATTTCTAACTATAAATGAAATAGTTTCTGTATTGCGATTGTCTGGCATACTATTTTGTTACTGTTATAAAGTAACAGACCCAATTATCAAATAAAATAAAGAAATTGAACAATTTTCATTTTTAAAGTAAACAAAAATCTGCCAGGACAGTAACTTATTATGTCTTAATTAACATGTGGAGAAATTGGTTTCAAATCGAAATGGAAAGTTGAATAGATTATTATCATTTTTGTTATTCGTTGTAAAGTTTGAACAATAAATTTTAGGAAAAGATAAAAATATTCATTTGATAATAGATTAATACCTCAAAAATCTGCCCAACAGTCGTCCTATAGCGAAACATTTGGTTGGCACGTGCCAAACTTTACGACCAGTCATTGAATCTGTGTATTTGTGTATTCTGTTATGTCAACCGTAAACGAGCGTGTGGTAATGAATACTTATGAGAAGATATTTATTGTTTTAAGTTATAATTATTTATTAAGAATATAGTTGAAAAAAAACCAATTCGAAACACTATTTGATTGTATATTTAAAAGTTAAATTTGATTAGATCTCAATTTTACCGCAAGCATCTAAGAGTACGTGTTATAGTAGTCTCAGAGCACACTAACAACATCTTCAGAAATACAGCTTTCACATGATAAAAAACGTCTGTTGGTCAAGATACCAGAAGTTCAGAAACAAACTAATTCCATAGATTGTGGGTTGTTCGCAATTACAAATGCTGTAGAATTTTGTTTTACAAGTTTTTCAGGTGGGATACATGTAGAATTTGACACTGAACTTTTTAGAGAACATCTTGTGATTTGTTTGGAAAAAGGTGAATTTATTCCATTTCCAAAGAAAAAAATTAGCATGAAAGGTAAACCGAAATATAAAACTAGTGTGGTGGAATGTAATTGTGAGTGTGGCAAATGTGATTCAGTAGAAGACATGTTAGGGTGTGAATGGCAGAAAGGAGTAAAGAAATGCAACATTTGGAAACACGTTTCGTGTACGGGGATGAAAGAAGGCACTCTAAACACATTACTAATTAGTGAAAATAAATACCTTTTGAAGGATTTGACACCAATCAGTGACTTTGAAGTTTTTATTACTGTCAAAACATAATTTACCTGACTTAATTTGTTAATATTTTACTTGTCTTCCGATGTAAAAAAAAAGATTTTTGCAGTTTTTAACACTTGTGTGTTTTTTTTTATTGTATTGTATGATGATTTATATATATATGTATCTGTATGAAATGTTTTTGATTAATAAAATATAAGCCCATGCCCGTTCAATGACCTGTCTGCTGCCTTTAATAAACAAAAGAGATCAAATTAATCAACATAACAAAATAAGTAAACAATGTTTTAATGAACACACCAGTAATTATGTTCTAACAATGATAAAGCTTAAACTGCAAACTTTGAATAAAATAAAGAAAATAATTCTTTGAAAATTATTTTAAATTTGAAACAAATTTCTTCACTAGTTCCAATATGATATAGTACTGTCCTGGCAGATTTTTTTTACTTAGAGAAATGATTAAAAAATAAATTTAAAGATTTTTTGAATGATTTGGTCCTAATAATATCAAAAAAGTATGCCAGACAATGGTAATAAAAATACTATTTCATTTATAATTAAAAAATTACGTTGATTTCCGCCATATATTCAAACATTTAACATAGTTGGCTACTGTCCATGCAGATTTTTTTTATGTTTACAAAATAAAAGTTCATAAAATTTTATATTTTATTAAAGCTGATAATACAAACTTTCCATTAAACACACATTTTCTTGCCAGACATGCATTTTGAACAAAATATTCAAATTTATCCATTGATTTGAAGCGAATTTCAACAAAATTTCTGACGAAAAAGGCTACTGTCCTGGCAGATTTTTTTTGTGTTAATGAAATAAAAGTCCATATTTTTTTATATTTTCTTAAAGCTTATATTTCAAACTTTCCAATGAACCAAAATTTGCTTACCAGACATTCATTTTGAAGAAGATATTTAACTTTATATTTTGATTTTGAGCTGATTGCAACAAAATTTCTAACTTAATAGGGTACTGTCCTGGCAGATTTTTGTTTACTTTAAAAATGAAAATTTTTCAATTTCTTTATTTTATTTGATAATTGGGTCTGTTACTTTATAACAGTAACAAAATAGTATGCCAGACAATCGCAATACAGAAACTATTTCATTTATAGTTAGAAATTGCGTTGTTAATTTCCGCCATTTAAACAGAAATTTAACGGAGTAGGCTACTGTCCTGGCAGATTTTTTTTGTGTTAATAAAATAAAAGTTCACATAATTTTATATTTTCATAAAGCTTATATTCTAAACTTTCCAATGAATCAAAATTTGCTTACCAGACATTCATTTTGAAGAAGATATTTAACTTTATATTTTGATTTTGAGCTGATTTCAACAAAATTTCTAACGTAATAGGCTACTGTCCTGGCAGATTTTTTTACCTTTAAAAATCGAAAAAAATATTAAATTCTAGATTTTTAGAAGGAGTATTCCCTAAACTTTATAATCGTACAAAAATATTATGCCAGACAGTTGTTTTGGAGAAATTATTACAATTATAAGTAAATTTTTCTCGGCAATTTCGGCCATTTTTTTCTTAAAATTTAACTGTCCTGGCAGATTTTTTTTAACTTATTAATTTTTTATTTTAATTTTTTATTACAAATTATGTAAGTATATACCCTGTTTTTTATTATACAGTTTAAATTTTAACAATATGTTGGTTAAAACAAAAGTTACAGATGAAAACGTATCGAAAATAACTGTCCTGGTTTTATCTGTCCTGTTAATAGACCTTCCCGACATTTTGTTTAACATTATATCAGACAAAACTCTAGAGAAGCCCGAATAAATGTGTGTCTTTGCATTTTTTACCTAAATTAATGACAGAACGGAAAATACCGAAGTTTTACGGAAATTCATGCAGTGGTTTCATGAACATAAACCAATCAGAGGGGATCTAGCATCACAAACTTTCCTTTTTGAACTCTGAACTCTGATGCTGGGGTATCCCTTCAGTAAACCATGCCAAAAAGCTTAAATTGAGAATGAAAATAGACAGACAGTAAGTATACAGCAATTTTGACGAATCAAGAAGGACTTAAGAAAGACAAATGTTGATAATGTTGGGTTTTAAATCATGTTGGGACGGTCACAAGCGTGTGTCTGGTAAGTGGGTTGGGTCATCGTCGCCGGTTCATTTTTTTAATATTTATTGTAACTTGTAACGTCCGCGAACAGTCATATTATTAAACGTTACTATCAGTTGAACACATAACTACAAGCACTGCCAATTATGACAAAGTGTGTCTTCCTATGCCAAAAAAATCCTAGTAGGATATGTTTTGAGTAGAGTTGTCTCCCTTGTCACAATGTTTTCTTGTTGCTACAGTGTTGCATGCTGATCATTAAATATTTTTTTATTATGGTACTAAATTGATAAATAAATAATTTATTTTGAACTACTCATGCATGTTGTGAATAGAGTTGGCTCATCATTTATATTCAATGAATGATGAAAAAAGTTTGTTAAATAAAGAACTCACAAGGGGGCAGGGGGCTAGAGGAGGGAGACATCCTGAATTCCCTAAAAATTAAATGCTGAATTCCTGAAAAAAGAAAGCATTCTTTCTTGGATCTGGAAAAAAATAATCAAATATCCTGAGTCCTGATTAGTGTAAATCCTGAATTCCCCCCAAAAAGGTCCTTCCACCAGGGTACCCTCTCACAAGACTGGGAATAGCTAAAGTTTGATTTATTATTGAGTACATACATGTTTGTGTATATGGTGGCTATAGATAAATTGTACTTACTTCCTTTTATAAGAAAAATGTAGCAAGGGCAGAATCCATTTCTTCAACATGTGAAGATATTTTTAAATCATAAGCAGCACAATATTTTGGATTACATTGTACATATATACCATGTATACAGTGGATTCCAGTAAATGTGCCAGTTTGGTAAATCCTGCCTCAACATAAATTGATTTCGTGATAGTTTGGATCAATTTCCACAAAATATATATTTCATAGACACAAATAATTACTAGAAAAGGTCATTCTAATCATATGGATACTTGTAACTGTACTAACAGTATAAGTAATTTCTTCCATTCAGATGATTCCATATCTAAAAATAAAGATAGCACACTGTTAAAACATTGACATTTAATTTATATACCATTTTGGATTTATATTAATTGTTTTCCTGTTAAAATATTTGAAAGAAACTGTTTTATTACAGCACATTGACAATAAAATCATTTTTAGAAAATGAAAATGCAGGTATAATCTGCATCTTATAGAATAAATAATATCTGGCCAAAATGCAAGCAAACTTTTTATGTTTTTTTTTTTTTTTTGTAAAATTTCATTTTGAAATATTCAGATGTGTAACCTTTCCAGATAAAATTAGCATTAGATTTTAAGCATCACACTCATGTTAGCTGGGTTGTTCATGTTGTTATTAAGACATTTTACTTGTTTTTTTAAGTTTAAAAAAAATGAATTTTATTGTTTTTCCCCAATATTGTGTTTAGTAATACCAATTTTGGTAAGACGACATACAATGTACTCAAATGCATTCAAAATTCTTTGATATTTAAGAATGGATTAAAGGCAAAACAGTTTCTTAGCACACCTCTTGAAAAAAAGGAGGGGGAGGAGGAGTCAACTAACATGACAAACAAAATAACAACCATTAGTTATCAGGAAGAAAAAAGTTTCCTGTAGTAACACATTTGTGTTATTAGTATGATTAGATATTGAAAAAAATATAAAGGATGTGGTAAATTAAACAAACAAAATGAGTAATTTCATGAAATTTTCCTTTAAGCATGTTAAACTTGTGTTAACTTGGCCTTGGGCAAATACATTGTTTATTGTAAGTTTGAATTAGGGACCCCAGATTTTTGTGAATATCAATAAATAATTTTATTTTTTTTTAGGGGGAGGGGATCTCTCATTAGATTTAGCAATCAGTTTCCACACCAGGGAAAAATATTCATGTTTTCTTTATCAAACTATAATCATGATAATGAGTTGTAAAAACAGGCTAATTTACAAAAAAAAGGTGTTTTCAGAAGGGCTCTGACACATTCCTTATTATTCATGTAAAGGGTCACTTCTTTTTTCTGTCACTGTTTAAGACCCTGTCATGCCTGTAGGCTTTAGTTGTTTGTTGTAGTATAATTGACCTTGAAATCAAATCTGTCAATGTGTCATTAAAGTAGGTAAGAAAATGAACATATTGGTAATTTTATCAGAGAACTTTATCAGTAACAGTTGATATCATTTTTGCATGTTATCAAAATGACCAGAGATCATTGCACTTTTACATATATTGCAAAAGGTCACAGGGACTACTGAAGCCAGGCCTACATGTAGTGTGTCTGTCTGTCATATATAACATGTATAACATGCCCTGTGCTTGGACAAACACTTTAAGGTAAAGTTTGATAAAAGCATTTATCAAAAACTTAACTGTAACTATAGTTAGATTGATAGTACAAATTTGTCAAGTTATGTCTTATCACTTTTGTTTCAAGTCAGCAGTACATTTTATCAAACAGTTTAACTTTTTTAACATATTTGTAACTGTGGGCATTTAAGTCAATCTTTGATAGTACAGAACATTATGTTGCAACACATTGAAATGAAATTTACTGACACAGCATTCTTTGAGGTATGGAATCTCTGTAGTAGATTGAGATACCCATGACCCATCATTAATGCACATGATGCAATGACAAACTGATTTGACAGTTAACTTTCAATTTAAAAATATGTTTTTCTAACACCACATGTTAACTTTTTCATTGTTTTCTGTGATAAAACTCTTTAAGAAGATTGGATTTATGAGTACATGTGTGAGTATGTGTATATAAAAAATGTGGTTCTGTTAATTTTCTTGTAGAAAATTTTATTTGAGATAAATTTTGACTTATTATTTGACAAACTGAAATATATTTTTCTAATTACCTAGACCATATAGACATAAAGATAAATTTTAAATGTGGTATCAGTTTACCTCTTCATTTTCTGGTAAACAAGTAAACTTTGACTGTGTGCTGTCTAATTAACCATTGTTAGCAACTTCTTCATGTTCTTTGGTGATAGGTTATCTGGTCATTTATAAGAAAAAAAAAAGAATAAGTCTGGAAAATGTTTTGTTTTGAAAAATCTGGTTTCAATATTTGAATACCCTATAGCAAAGACTATAGACGACTTTCGAATTTATGCACTTTCCTGTAAATTTCCTATGTCACAATGATTATATATGATTGATTGATTGATTGGTGTTTAAAGCCACTTTCAACACTATTGTGCTATTTCGTGGCGGTAGGAAAACTGACAATCCTAGTCAGTTAAGATTGGAGTCGAGTGCACCTGCCCGTGCGGGATTCGAACTCACAACCTCAGTGTTGACTGGCTAGTGATACAGTAATTGAACTACTTGGACCACTCAGCGACCAAGGCCCCTGCCTATATATGTTATTACGTCACAGTAAGAACTGATTGTTCGATGACGTCATTTATGCGGATTGACCATGGGTTAACCATTGTAACTCATTCATAAAAAAACAACTCAAGATTGGTGTATTAATAGCATTACATATACACACATATATTTTCAGCAGAAGTAGTGCATGTAAAAAAATCAAGATTAGATACAATTCTAGGGAATTTTTCAATTCATTATAAGATTTCATGATGTAACCTTCTTTAAAATTGATTGCTTTCAAAGTTTAGATTACGAATTGTACACTACCATGACTACAGTACATGTAGTTGAAGTCCCCAATATTATTAATCCCCAGTATATTCATAGTGAAGATGTCAATATGATGTTGTGTTTCTCCACTAATATTCAATATTATAGTTAACACTGAATTACATCTAAAATACATGTACATTTATGATTGTAGTGTGACCAATTTACTGTTCTACAACATATCCTTTTTATTTTAAAACACCTTGTCCCTTGTAGAATAAAGTTTCAACAAGTTTTACATGTCATTGGTTATAAAGGTGTAATACCACCAAATCATAGTATGTCACATCCGGTTGCATACGAAAATAGGTCGAAAAAAAATATTCCCTTGAATTTGACAGTTGCAGGTAATTGATCCTACATTTCATTGCAGTAAAACATTTCTGGGTCATCATGGTCATAAACATATATCTTGGGTATTTCAAAGCACCATTATTTTTTTATTTGAGGTTTCTATAGAATATTTTGGAAACTTGAGGTTACATGGTTACTAAAGCTTGTACACAGGAAAAAAAGGGGGAAAATTTGATTGGTTAACTTCCAGCAATGTCCAGTGATGGTTACTTTCTTATATGCAATGAAATGTTATGTGAATTTTTTTCTATAGTACTGGACAGGATAAAACTTTACTCATGCCAAGTATTTCTATTTGAAACAAAGATAAAATCTGCACATTTTTTTGAAAAGTGCAAATTTAACAAAGACTAATAGGGGAAAATCAATGGTGGTATTACACCTACATGTAATATGGGAGGCTGTACATGCACCTTTGACCTTGTGAGTACTCTCATGTGTTAAAATTTCTTGCTGTTTAAGTGAAATATTACAAATAATGAAATATTCTGAGTGGATTGAGTCTCCAAAACACATTTTATGAGAAAATTTTCTTGAAATAGGACTTTACCATGAATATTAGTTGACAGAATAAGCCATACTTAGAGTTTTGGGGAGCTTTTTCTCCTTATTTCTTATATTCTGCTATACTAGAAAAATTTTCCTAAGAAATACTTTAATAAATATATATTTTAAGTAAATGAAATTATTTTTAAAGCAGTAACAACAAATTATTCACCAAAAGAGAAGCTTTTTATGTCCCTCTCTGGATCGTGGCGTAAATTTAAGTTTTACGTAAGGACTTATTGAAACCTCCTTGGAGACAGTAAACTTTTATACAGATAGTTCATTCAGCTTGAATACTTCAATTAATCATTTATTATAACATTTCTATCAAAAGTTAGTGAAAGTTACTCCAAAAGTTTTATTTATTGGCCTAAAAAGTAGAAATTTTGAGGAAATGAGAGGTATAAATGGACCAAAAGAGATCTTATAAGGAAGACAAAGAGGTCCATTAGTAGTTTTTATCATCCTAAAGTCATCTTTTGTATCATATTCAACTGTTTGTAGGCAGATGAGATAAATATTTGATCATTTATTGGTCCACACTATATTCTATTATGATGCGGCTTGGTTTGGATTTTTCGAAGAAATTTTGCTCGAATCGCTGTAGATGTCATCTTACATTATACTAGATTTTTCTCAAACTATTGAACTGATTATGACAAAACTTGACAGGAATGCTCGAAATAACCAGTATTACAAAGGAAAAAAGTCACATTCAGTTTATTTAACAAAAAAGTTTTCTTTAGGTGTAATACCACCAAATCATAGTATGTCACATCCGGTTGCATACGAAAATAGGTCGAAAAAAAATATTCCCTTGAACTTGACAGTTGTAGGTAATTGATCCTACATTTCATTGCAGTAAAACATTTCTGGGTCATCATGGTCATAAACATATATCTTGGGTATTTCAAAGCACCATTATTTTTTTATTTGGGGTTTCTATAGAATATTTTGGAAACTTGAGGTTACATGGTTACTAAAGCTTGTACACAGGTTAAAAAAGGGGGGAAATTTGATTGGTTAACTTCCAGTGATGGTTACTTTCTTATATGCAATGAAATGTTATGTGAATTTTTTTCTATAGTACTGGACAGGATAAAACTTTACTCATGCCAAGTATTTCTTTATTTGAAACAAAGATAAAATCTGCACATTTTTTTGAAAAGTGCAAATTTAACAAAGACTAATAGGGGAAAATCAATGGTGGTATTACACCTAAAACAACTCTATTAACATAATAAGTAGACTGTAGACAGTAGAACGTACATGTACAGTACATATAGAATACATGTACATATACTTTTTAATGAACTTCCTAAAAATATTTCCGTACAGCATGTACAGAGGAAACACTAGTAGTTCTTTGTAAAGAATTTCCTATTAACATTTCCCTAAAAAAGGAAACACCACTTATTGATTGTTGATTGGTTATTTTACAGTTGGCTACCTTATATGTGATAAAGTTATAAGTATTTTGATAGAGACAGACTGTGCCTGTTGTTTCTTTTTATTAATCTCAGATCATGGATTAATTTCAGAAGGATCAAAAGAAACTTCACTTAATTGGTTTCTTTTAACAAAACCTAAGGATAATTAGCATAATTAGGGGACATGTTCCTATTATATTGGTGAAATTTATACATTTGAACTTAATCTTTTTAAATTCAACTTTTAAAACAAGACTGAATATAAGGAGATGTGGTGTTTAACTCAACGAGACAGCAACCCAACAACACAAAAACCCAAAAGACATCTAGAGGTCAGTATATGGTCTTCAACAATAAACAAGTGTCTTTTCAATATGTCAAGCTGTAAGTCAGCCGAAGTTTGAGCTGTTAAACAAACAGGATGACAGTTTTACCCTGTGGTTTACTATTTCTTTAAATATTGTATACAGGTTTATCTTTACTAGGGATATGTATAGTAGATTTTCACAAACGTGTTAATATTTTAGCATTGATAACATACAAAAAATGGATAATTGGAGGATATACATGAAAGAACAATTTGTTGAAATACTATAGTATATACATGTTCTATTATCACTTTTATAGCTTACTAATATATTGAATCATTTGTATTGCCTGCTTGTTATTTGGACATTCTCAAATGTAGATATTTCATAGTATTTTATTTTTATAGGTTCTAACATTCCTGCAGATAAAGATATAACTGGTGTACGAATTGACTATGGCTTCACTTCATCCCACAGTTTCAGAGTATTATACAGATAAAAACGTTTTCATAACAGGAGCTACAGGTTTTATTGGGAAAGTGTTGTTAGAAAAACTGTTAAGGAGTTGTCCTAATGTCGGAAATCTGTATTTATTAGTTCGACCTAAGAAATCTCAAGACTGTCATCAAAGGATCACAGAAATCTCACAGTCTCCCGTAAGTATATATGTTTAGCGTGATAGAAATCTCACATTTTCAAATAAGTATATATGTAAATATATGTGTTCACTGTGACAAAAATCTCAGTCTCTTGTAAGTGAATGTGTCTACCGTGCAAGAATTAATACAGTCTTCAATAAGTATATATGTTGACGGTGCCAGAAACCTCTCAGTCTCCTGTAAGTACATGCATACATGTTTAGGGTAACAAAAATGTCTGAAATATCTCTAGACCTTACTGACCAGTCAGTAATTATACCACTGCTCTGAAGAGAGAGGTTATTATGGTTTACATCTGTCCCATAAAAAATCTTGTCACATTTTTCCCAGGAACTCAAATTCAGAGCTCTTGAACTTTAGTATCAAGCTTCATGTGAGAATACATATTATACTGTGTGATGAATTCATCTCTCTGACATCCATACTACATGTACTATACTGTGTGATATATTTTTATCCGGCGTCTGCGAGTTACGGGACTTGTAACAAAAACGGGGGGGGTGTGTTATTTTCACATGTCGCGCTGTATCTCAAAAACGATTTATGATAATGGCTTAAAACTTTACACACTTCTTAATTATATTAATCTAAAGATCTGTATACTTTTTGGTGATGATTCAAAATTTTATTTTAGAGTTTTTGATTTTTTTATAAAAAAAAAGGGGGGTTTTCACATGTAGCGCCGTATCTCAGAAACGATTTATGATTATTGCATAAAACCTCACACTCAAGACGACAGGTGTATCATGCACTTATGGCGCAGCTGTTTATTAAATTATTCACACATCATTTCCCTGTTTACTGAATACTTACCGGTACAGTGGGGATACATGTACCATTAGTGAGCAATAGCTCACAGTTCAGCTTGTTTTAGTTATTTAACATAACCAAAATGAAAATGAAAGTGAGACTCTTATATTTAATGTTTACATTGTAAACTGGTTATCAAAGAAATCATGACTGTCATCAATGTTTGGAGTTGACTCAATAAGAATACTAAAATGAACTGTGCAGTAAAATGTATAAAATATTCGTTAAATTGAAAAAAATATTAACATATTAATAAGGAGGGGTTGAAAATACATCAATGAGACAGCAACCCAATGACAAAAAGAGGTCAAGAAACAGTCTGACAAATGTCCATACAATATGTAAAGTGTAAAGGAGAAGGTCCATTAAGAGCTAATTTTGGCCTAAAATTTGAAGTACATCTGATGAAAGAATTTTGACATTTTTTAAACACTAAGGTGTCTACTTCAGTCGATTCAATTAGTTCATGTAAAAGATTTGAACTGATTTGGTCATGAAAGATGCTAAATTCAAGCTTAAATATGAAAAATCTATCAAATATGCCATAAAACGTCACTTTTCAGATGGTTTTTGTCTAAAATGTAAGTGGCCACATTGGTGTTCAGTCTCAACTTTTATATATGTTATGTATTATCATCAAATACAACATATATATAAATATTAAGATTGAACACAAGTGCGGCCACTTCCATGTTAGACTAAAACCGTCTTAAAATTAGCACAAATGCTAAAATTTTGAAGATTTCAGTTATTTTGCATGACATAATGATGCTAGTACCTGATGCATGTGCATTGTATTGTCAAAAACAGCCAATATTTATGTAACAAAAGTAATCTACTTTTCAATAATAGCTAAAAGTTTACGTTTTTAACAAATTTGTGAAAATGCTATATATTTGAGCCAAAAAGGGGTCTTACCGGGCCTACTCCTTTCCATAGTCATGATACAGTAGTGTAGACATGTTATGAATAGTTAATTAAATTTAATAAAAAAAACTGCTAAAGATCTTCCATCAACACTTAATTCTCTGAAGGACTAAAATTATGAATCAATTTTTTTTCAAATTGTAAAACTATGAGCCTTTTAAATGAACAAATTATATTGTCAAACTCTTATTTCAAGATACACATACTTGTCCAAGCAGTTGCATTGTTTTAAACTATAGCTAAAATGAAAAGGGGACCACAGTAAGCCCTGAATCACCTTAAATGTCTTGCAAATGTACTGTACATGTTTAATTTAATTGTCTTGTTGGGTTGATGTCTTATTGAATTTTCTCCCCACATCTATCTTTTTATTCATATTACAGAAATATCAATATAGTGTATAATAATTTCATAACTTGTGAAATTGCCAAACATATATTGTCTTTTAAATTATTGATCCACTTACGTTTATTTTTTTATGTATATAAATGACATATTACAATGTATAATATATTTATATCATGTTTATTGATCAGATTATAAATTTTAAAATCTTTTCAATTTGTTTAATGATTAAATAAATATACACCATACCATAATAACCATTAAGATATTATATGCAAGGTTATTTTCTGTGCTTATTTATGTAAAGTCTGTATATATTGTATTTCAGTATTTTAAGCTCGATATCAGCTGTCTATCTTCAGGCATATCTTATCAAAAAGGAAAATCGGTTATTATTTGATAAAAAAAAAACTATTTGTACATATTGAACAAGACTTATTTAGTTTATCAATAGAAATTGAAAGATATTTGAAGTAATACTGTTGCCTGTATTAGTTTCAAACATTTTTCAATCATCCTCTTTTTTACAATACACTGGAAAATACATGCTAGAACTACATGTATAAACACAAGATTTGTGTTCATCAAATTGAAAAATCTCTGTGGTTTTGACAATCGATAGTATATACATGATATATGTCCAATCTTGGCACAATAGACAATACTCACCACATCTTATTTCTCTATTTACCATGATAACTTAAAACAGTAGTTTACATTTTTTGCTTTGTTTTATATATTGCATGTACACCAAAATCTCTATCATAGAGGAAATAATAGACATAAAATTGACTCATATTTAAAATGGAATGTATCTTCCTTTTATACTGCTATTGAACATTATGTGTGTTACCATACACTCTTTAGCCTGTTATGTTTCACACTGTTCCTCATACCACATCTCTAGAGAGCTCTTTTATTTTAATATTGAGAAACATCATTTCGCTTTTTCCAGGTATTTGACAAAGTCAGAGCTGAAAATCCTAACTTTCACAAAAAACTGATTCCAATCCATGGTGATATAACTGAAGAAGCTCTGGGTATCAGTGAAGAAAATGTTGAGTTATTGGAGAATCAAGTCCACATCGTGTTCCATAGTGCTGCAACAATAAGATTTGATGAACCGCTTAGGTTAGTTATATACCATTAAGTTTTAACAATATATCTTTCAATACAGACCACACAAGGTGATTGTGTAGTTTTAAGTTGTGATATAAAGGTTCTATATTTTCATTGAATAAGAACACGATAAAAAGTGTTCTATATAACATGTACATGTAGTTAGCTATAGGCCTTCCAGAATCATGAAGCAGGCTGAAAATAATAATTTCTTATAAGTTCTACTGGTTCAGTGATGTATATTTTATCCCTGTTAACCACCACGTAATATGTTTCTCAAAGGAGATTTAATGGAATTTTAATGCCACAAGATATTTTATAAAGTCAAAATCACTTATTATGTATATCCATTTTTAATATTTCCCAAATCACATAGTTTTATTTGCTTTCAATACATTGGTAACCCAACTCAATTATAAAACAGAAAATGTTTGTCTTGTTAAGTAATAAATAATTTTCTGATTAGTTGTCATCATTTTCCTAAACTGATGCATTGATGGGAACCATTAATATTTTATACTTTCTTGAATTTGGAAAATACTTCAAATTTTTTAGTCAGATTCTTGTTTCTGGAAATTAGTTTTTGGAAAGGGATATGTATAAGTCTACAGACACTAGCTATATAGGATATTTTGCTGTATACATTATTTAATAATGATACATTTCTCATCTATTTTTGTATGGCTATCATGGTCTTGGCTTCATGTATGCTTTAAAAGCATTAACATGCACATTGTGACTCTTGATTATCACTCTGATTAACTAGTACACAGTAGTGGGTATATGTATGTTTACAAAAAAAATAAAAAGTGGCATTATAAGTTGCAGTCTTTTTGTTGAATCAAAAGTAAAGTTATTCTCATATATTATCAATATAATAACCAATGCAGGGGACACACTGTGGGAAAATAGAATACCTTGTAACAGACCAATAATATAATGTAAACCAACAATTCTTACCAAATATGAATATAGTATCACACAACAAATAGTGAGCACTCAAACAACAAAAGTAAATCTTAAATTGATATAAAGAGGTCACTGTGTGGTCTTCAACAATTAACATGTACCTTATCATGTTTATGGAAACCCTTAAATTGCCCCAAGTCTCCAAACTTATGAATGATTTTAACAGATATGACGTACACATCAATGCCAAATTGCTTAATGAAAAGAAAAAGTAAAAAACAACTGTCACCATTATCTAGCTATCTGACATGGGATAATCATATAAACATATTCAATTTCCCAATCCTACTGGATCATTGGAGCTCAAAGGGATACAGGGAAAAACGCATAATATAAATCAATCCTGAGAAAAAAATGCAATCAATGATATCAGTATTACTGATCACAATAACATAGTCACTTGAAACACCATATTGAAAGATTCACACAGATACACAAATGAAGTTCAAAAATAGTTTTTAACTTCTAACTAATTTAACAGTCACCATGATCACGTGTGTCACATGTGTTCTGTCTACAGTATTTGTTTGTTGTCTGTCTGTAAATCTTTTCACATTTAAATCTTCTTTTACCATTTTTGGTAAGCACTGTCATCTAATGTAGCTAAATTCCTGCCAGAAGTCATTTAATGATACCTGTAATAAAAGTCAGCTTTTGTACATGTATGTGTTTGTGTGTTATGGTATTTGAACATGCTTTTATTAAATATATATAGCATAAAACTACATGTTATTGCTTGATAAATTGTTCATTGTACAATGTACCTGTGGTTCATGTAATATTCATTAGAAATTTCACAGTATACCTGTATTTTCAGTAACAGTGAGGAAATCGATTCAAGCAGTGCCAAATCAGGCTCTGCATTAAGGTAAAAGAAAAGCTGCACTTAGAATACAGGGATAAATTTCAACATTATCTGCTATGCTATTGTAATATAACTTTATAAAATGGACTGCTGATTAAAAACCAGAGGAATGTGCAGGCCCAATAGTCCATTTGCTAATTTTGTAATTGACTCTGTAATTAGAGATCCATTTATGAGTTGTTTCCCTTAAAAGGGAAATAAATTTTCATTGACATGAAAGAGTTTTCAGAAAGAGCAGCCAATTTTGCCGGGTATAGAACCAAACTACAAAAGGGAACCAACTTGTTTAAAAAGTGTGTAATAACACTATCAAATAGTGAATTGGCAAATAGACTACTGTAGATTCATTATTATTCGTGGGATATCAATTTTCGTGGATTTCGTGGGTACAGGTAAACCACGAATTTAAATGTTCAACAAATTACAAATTTTCTATAGGCTTGTATGCAGATTGGCAAAACCATGAATATGATGAAATCAATTATTCAAAAATGCAAGTTCTCCTCAATCCACAAAAATTGGTACCCACCAAAATTAATGACTCCACAGTATTTTAAGGATATGGACTACTGGACTCTTGTTAATTTTTATCCCTAATAAGTCAGTTAACCACATGTTTCGATCAAAATTCATGGTAGGTCTAGAAGGTTTGTCTTAAGGCCTTTATTTAGTTCATGTTGATTGATGATTATTTATTGTTTATAATCTAGTTATTTTTAGATGGCCACATGTTTTAAATGCCTGCACGCAAATATTTCTGTCATTCAGTTTAATATACATGAATATAGTAACCTACATGTATGATTTATTTGTACATGTTAATTTGTGAATTGATGACTTGACTTTTGTAATGGAAAAATGTAAACAGAAAGCAAATATTTAGATTTGACAAACATAATACCATCATGACCATCTGATATATTGTGTTTGCATATCTAGTCATGTGGAGAAACAATTTTTTTTATTGTAAAATTTTTTATTTAAACTTTGGGATATAGAATGACATAAAGATTATATTTCCGCTCTGCTTAATTTTACTAACATTTTAATAATACAATATTTTATTACTTTAACATAGAACTTTACTTATTAATCATAGAATTATCTTGCAGAGTGATCTTGCTATATTTGAATTATGTTGCTCTTCTATACATGTAGGATAATCATAGAAATGTTTCCAGTTTTTTTTCTTCAATTTTGAGTCATTGCACTTTTATTCAATGACAATCATTTCTTTGTTACTGTGATCTTTAAATGTTAGAAGTTTTTGATATTTGTTGTCTTTTAAAGTAGAAATTTCTTGCTCTCTATTTGTTCATTTATAAATAAATACTGGGATATTAATTTTCATGGATCTAAATAAAAAAAATTCCATGAAGAACTCAGGAATATACAAAAGTCAATTTGCTGTTCTATCAGACTGCTGTTCTCAGACACATGACTTTTCTATGGATTAAATTAACCCCTAACAGCTGTGTTCTATTGAATCTTCCACTTGTAAAAGTTGGTTCTATGACAAAAAGAATTTAACCAGTTTGAATTGTCTTAATTACTGATTTCTGTTCCACATTGGAATTTGTTATAAACTTACCTTTGACTTTTGCAAAGACTGGGGTTCGAACTCTTTCTTTGAAGTCAATTAAATGTTAAATAGCTAACGTTCTGAGCAACACTTGTAGATATAGTTCAATTATCTGTTTTTGCTTTTTTCTTTTTGTTTTCTTTAATCACTGATATTTTTGCAAAAAGAATGTATCACTATAGTGTTTGTTTTCATTTTTTGATAATTATCATCTGTATCATATTATTCAAAAGAAAATTAGAACATTTCGGATTTCATGTTTATAGGAATTTCATCTATTTCAAGCATATTTTTTACAAGTTCGTAAATTGTAATGAGTGTAAATCAATAATAAAAATAATTTTTCTTTCAGTAACATTTTTTTACGGGAAAATTTGTTCTAATTATCTTTATTTTGTCATTGATGGATACATTTCTGAATCATATCTTTATTTTGTAAGTTCATACAACTTTGAATTAATTTCTGTCGAGATAAAAATCATCACCATGACTATATTAATTTGTAATAAATAGTGGTGTGCATTATTCAAGAGAATTGAGTGGTTATTTACCCAGAGATTACAAATGATAGGGTATAATTAATATAAAGAACTGTATTTTGGAAAAGTTGTACAAAGGTTTAAGTACGAGACACAATGGATTAGCGGGCTCATGGTAATTTTTTTTACAAACTAACACTGATCCATTGTATCTCAAACACATAAATCAATAATGAATTGTAGAAATTTTCAGTTTCTTTTAGCATTATTTAGAACTGATGTACCATCATGACCATAGTGCTATTATTTTTTTACAACAGTGCTATTACTTTGCCATTACTTTCAACAATGGTTTTATTCTTCCAAATTTCCTCAATTAATATGGAGATTCTTTTGATTTATAACTTTCATAACCATGATAATATAAAAAAAATGGAAACATGAAATATGACAGTCTCCGTTAAATTTCACCAATACAGGTTTTTGACTATAGTGTTATAAATAGCAAGTAAGAACTGACATATTTTTGTGTCCAAAATGGCCATCTTACACCCTTGATCTTTTGTTAGATCAATGACAGGGCGTGATACTCGAAAGTATTAGACAAAAAAGTCTCATAACAATGCTGCATTGTTTTTTTTTCTTGTCAATCCGTGTCAATTTATCAATGTAATGCACATGCCATCATTCATACAACTGAAAACCTATCACAAGGCTTTGTACTCAATATCCATTGTTTTTATACAATGTGACAGGTAAACTTGCAAAGATTTCAATACCTTGACAAAGAGGATATGATTCTGTGGAACTGTTTCATTTCTTTCGCAATAAAATTCATAAGAGAAACAGATTCCACCACCAAATCTTGTGCAATGCAATATTTTTCCTCTCTTGATAGTTATATTTAAAACACTGTGTTCTCCCCAGGACCTTTTAGCATTATGGTAATATGATGCTATCTGAAATTAGTTTCTTATAGATAGTGTTATGGATGTGGTGCCATAATGTCTAGAAAGAAGAAGGTATTTCACAATTTCCTATTTACCAGGATGATATAAGAAATTTCTGAGGAGAACACTGCTTAATGCTCAACAAACCTCACGCTTTAAATTTGAAAATTTAACCGTCTCAAGTTGAGAAATATTGTATCATACTCTATGCTGTGGTATAACATGTATAATCTATATTTATTATATTTTCAGGTATACATTATTTAATTCCTGATAAAAATAATTCTTTAATACTATGAAATGTTAAAATTTCAGAACAATCTTTTGTTTACATTATAATTGACATCGTGTATAAATTGCAATAAAACATGAACAACAAAGATCGAGAACATTTCCATATTTGTGGGTGAAGGTCAATATTTTTATAAACTGTGTTTAATGTTGTTCAGGTTTCAGAAGAGAAGACAATAGAGTATTTTTTCTTTGATTTTTAAATTTTTTTTACCAGGGTTTCAAAATAAACCTCGTTTCCATCTGTTCGGTTGATACTGATAATAATAGATTATATCCTGTTTCAGAGTTGCGATGGAAATGAATGTTTTAGGAGTAAGAAAAATGATTCAACTGTGTAGTAACTTTAAGAAACTAGAAGTAAGTAATATTTACAAAGTTATACAGTACCTTGAAAATGTTATTCCACTGGTCGAAGACTAATTATTGATAATTTATAGAAGTCTAAAGTAAATATCTGTGGAATAGAAGGCAGTTTGAAATAAGAAAAATGTCATGAAAAGTATTAAAAATGAGAAGATGTCATGCCCCAGCACATGTACTTACTACTACAACTTGTTAAAAACATATAAATAAATGTATTTTACTAAACTTAATAAAAAAATAAAAACATGAATAGGCCAATAATACGTCCTGGTCAATTTTAGGGTCTATATAACTGTAAATTCAAAAATTAGTGCAAGGTTTTTATTAATGCGAATAATGCGATTGGGTGAATATCCCAATAATAAGAATTCACATCTGATATCTGATACATATATCTGTATACAGCGTTTCCTTCATTTCCTTAATCGCAATAATTAATCTCACATTTTTGTTCATTCTTCAATAATGACAATAATAAATGCATGCAGTAATTTCTGAATTTACAGTAATTGAAGACTTAGGCTATACTTTTTTAATTGGACTATTTAAAGGAATGTGGCATGTGTCACTATGATCATCTGACCAATTACAATAAATCAAAAACCTTAAAGGGAAAATTCGCGATTTTTTACTTATCATCTTATTATGTTCATAATACCATAAAAAACATATTCACCAAGTTTTATCTGGATATGAAAACTAATAAAGAAGAAAATTGGGAATTATTAATTTTATTTATTCGAACTTCCTGACTTCTGTGACGTAGTTTAAGTCTTTTTGCATGCCGGGAGTGGAATTAATCTCATTTAAGTCTTGTTCGTTAATCATCTAATAACGCGATTTAAAGCGCATCGACGACTTTTGGCGTAGCTATTAACCAACTAATAATTAAGAAAGTAAAGTGATCAGTCGTGCAACTTTTAAAAATAAAATGTACGATTTATATTTTAAGGATTTCTGATAAGATTATAGTCATTAGTCATTATAGTAATAAAAGTAAATCATACAATAGAATATTTTTATGAATTTTTTTCCGACGGATATTTTCAACAAACATATATAACTGATAGTGTATTAAAAATGCATGTTTGTATTCTCACCTTTTACTTCAGTCTAGCAAACATTTCTCGCTAGTACTGTGTAAAATTAATACAATGTGTATTGTACTGTGACACTTAGTGACTACCTGTTGAATGCGTGGTTAAATTCAAGGTATTTAAAGGTTTGCATTCTGTAATTCTAATCTTTTGATCTTCACTCAGTGAATTTTAGCCGTCACGGTTCACCGTTCCAGGTGTGAACATCATTTCGTATGAATGATAAACGGTAGTGATAGTTTGAGACAGAAAATAAAAAAAGAAATATAATTATTTTGGGGGAGTAATATGGTGGCACAATACCTGGATAGCCGTGGTATATTTTTATATTTTCCGTAAGCTCAGTTTAAAATGAATTATGACTGCTGAATATTTTTGTAACAATGAAATACTGAATTAATTTAATTGAATAAATAATAATGGCATTCTAAACACGAGTGTATGAACTAAAAATTGTACTATTTTAAATTAGAATCGGTAACCTTGCATATTTGAAATAGATAATTACCAATTGCAATTATATAATTTGGTCCGTCCAAAGCGATCTTTATTTACATATTCAGGAATTAATGTCCTTATCAAAATATTTTAAATCTCACAACGTATAAATACTTCAGCCATTTGAAGAAAGATGTTTAAAAAGTTGACAGGAAATTTAAGGTCAACTTTGTCTTATTGGAATGAGATCGAATAATTACGAACAAAAATTATTTTCCGGTTTGAAAAAGATAAAAAAAAAATGATAAAAGAGAAATGTGGGTTGGAGACAGAAAAAAAATTATTATTTGGGGAGGAATATGGTGGCAAAATAACTGAATCGCCGTTTTATATATTTTTTATATTTTGCGTTAGCTCAGTTTTCAAATAGATGGGTGAGTATTTTGTTGTAACATCGGATTCCTGAATAACTTTCAATGAAATAATTTTATAAGTAAAAATGGCCCACGAAAACGAGCGTATAAACCAAAAACTGTGCTATTCTGAATTATCATCAGTAACCTTGAATATTTAAATGTGCAGGGAAAATTATCAGTTACATTAATATAGTTTGGTCTGTCCAAAGCGATCTACATTTACCTAATCGGGAATGTCCTTATTAAAATATTCTACATCTCACAACAAATACTTTAGCTATTTGACCAACGATGTTTAAAAAAAATTTACAGAATCAATCTAACGTCAACTTTCCTTTATTGAATGGAGACAGACAGACCGACGGAATCAATTTTCAATGTGCTTTATATCTAAGTCTTGTACATTTGCAAGACTAATCATTCATTCATAAACCATGTCTATACCGCATACATATATATACATATAATTATATGTCTGTCCTAACTGACAAGAATACTCCTGGTTTTTCGATAGACTTGACCTCCAACCCCCCCCCCCCCCCTCAAACCTGAGAACATTATATCTAACAATGTTTAAGTTCCTGCCCAAATCAGAAAAAAAAAAGAAGAAAAAAAATGAAAGAGATGAACCACTAGAGATGAACGGTAATTCACATCAGATTCAGATATTTATATAGTTGATTGTCGTTAACTAGAGATGTATAGTTACATGTCTCTGCGTTAACTGATAAGAATAACAGGAAAGTATAAACTTGAAATAGATTTATGATGAATAATATGCAACTGCGGCACCCCTTTTTATCAAAACGTACATGCATGTATTTTAATGACTGTCCATTATTTCCATTATAATGACAATTGTACGTGAAATCCTATAGTTGGTGAGACTTTTTTTTTACCAGATATGCGACTTTTCGTATTTATATTTTCTCTTACATTACTCTTATTTAATATTTTATGCATAAGTGCAATATTGGGAATGGTTTATTCCCCCACAAGCTAACTTAATAAATTAATCAACCCTCAAGCTGATCAGACGTTAATACAACTACTATCAGTCTATCCGGAGTGTAGTTTCTTTATTTCTTCAAATAAACTTTTTGGGGATCATTAGTGTACGTCCAGTGGCATATATATTACATACATGTCGGAACAGGAAAATTGGCATAAGGTTTTATTAGAACCATGTTCACATTAATATACATTATACCCAACAATTGAGATGATGACGAATTTCTTCAACTGTTCTAGAACAATCTAATTGAAATATAAATCTGTGATTTTACTATGTCCATAACTTTGATGAACCAAAGCAAGTTATATATCGACCTGTATTTAAATCAAATTGGTTCTGGATGTTCTTTCTTATATTCAATATACAATTTTAAATTGCGACTATCTAAAGTTCCGTAACTTTCTATCTAGGCGTATAAACCAATGATCGACAAGTGCGTACATTTTTGTTAAATCAATAGTCTTTCATTTTTCAAAATGTCCATCATTATTGACAACGAGTATATACTTACATTTTCCCCAATTTACCCTTGGAAAAAATATGTAAATAGATTTTTATTTTGTCAAATCTTTTTTGGGAATTATTTAGATTTTCATAAATATCATTCTTTACACCAAAAATGTTATTTATAAACAAGCGTATGAGTTTAGTAATGACTAGTATATCACTATCGGACACGCAAGACAGAGATATTATACACCTGATAGTTTCAAAATGGAAAGTTACAAGTTATCGGCTGTGTACGCTGATCAATACCCTCAGAAGTGAAGCGATGCATGAACATGCTTTATGTGATTGTGTAATAAGAGTTTTTAAGCCCGACAGGAAATCGCTTGAATACCTGGACGTGTCACCTCACAATACCTCAGGGAATAATTCCTTTAGCCATGCTGGTGATCAGATAAGAGAAGGTCCGAATTTATTTAAATAAGTTTATTACATAAAAGAATTATGAACAAATTAGATTTTCGAAAACGATTTTACACGGAACACTTATTTATGACATTGAACTTTGACTTTTTAACTAATTCCCATATAAATTTCTTGTTTCAAAAACTTCGTAAAGAAAAAACAGTTGAAAAACGTCAGACCATAGTTATTTAAAAAAATAATTACATTTTCCGTATCAAGTTAGTTAGTCGGCGAGTTAGTTAGTTAAATGCGACTACGTTAGGTTACTGCTGGTTTTGGTCCTTTGTGGTTTATAGATATATCGTGGTTTCTAAACCGAGAAAATGTCAAAATGGCCGCACGCAGAGAATTGATACTCTAAATTTAAAATCGATGGTGATCTCTTATCTAGCAGAATAAAACTTTAATATTTATGAATTTGTGCTTTTTTAAACAGAATGGACATAATATCAATTTTTTATTTTTTTGCGAAGTTTCCCTTTAACAAGCTATGTGTAGACAAATTAATACTGGTACAAATTTGTGCTATATTTTGTGAAATGGAGATCTGTACCACAACCTACCTCATGGTCGGTAAAAAGACTAGGATGGAAGTACAATTTATAACAATACTTTGGTAAACTTTAGATTTATTTGGCAAACCATTGAAATAGGATATAAGTATATTTCATTACAATATATATACACATGATTTCTCTAATTCTTAGCCAATTTATACCTTCAGTGACCAGTTAATTATTTCTTATAATGAATGTGTGGTTCCCAGTACTTCATTCATCAAAATTCAATTATGACTTCAAATTTTTTTGCTTTCCTATAACTAAGCTATTGTTATAACTTCATGGAAAAAAGGTGACTATGCCTTATAGTATTTCTTTTAATGAACACTACCATTTGTAGATCATTAGGGCCCTGCCTAGTGGCGGGTCGCCCTATAGTGATCAGTATGTCCGTCCATAACAAATTGTGTCTGCTCTATATCTAGAGAACCGTTATAATTTCATACTTTATACTTGATATGTATATTAACCAACACCAGAGGATGTGTCATAATGTTTGTGCAACTTCCTAGGTCAAAGTTCAAGGTCAAAAACTTTGGTTTCAATTGACAACCCCATGTCCTATGGTAAAGATGCTGGCCCACAGAGATGGTTCCTATCTCAATGATGTCTAGTTTAATAAGAAAATACAGTTTGACTAGATATTGTCTAAAAATCATTATAGAAACAGATTCCACAACCCTATTGTGTGCCATAAGATATTTCTAAAACTCTTCACAATTAGATTTTAAACATTCAAATGCCTATAAAGCTGCACATTTTAAATCTAAAAAGTTAACAGTCTCCAAAGAAGAAATATCCTATCACACTCGCTGCAGTGATATAATCTATATATATGCATCTGGATTGTCATTTTCAGCATTATATTTTATTACCATGATTGTTAATGTGGTATGGATATCTTAAATCAAACTATACATTTCATGACTATTTTTGTACATTTTTGTGAGTCTTGCTTTAATCTGTAAATTGTTTTTCAGGTGTTTGTTCATGTGTCAACAGCATATGCTAATTGTGATCGACCATTCATAGAAGAAATGGTTTACCAACCTAGTGTTGAACCACAGAAACTCATAGATGCTTTAGAGTAAGCTAATTTAACACTGAGGCAATACAATCATGCCAAAGTAGTAATAAATTTCGATAACTGATGCACAGTTCTAATTGAAATAAACAACTTTATTAATTAAAATTTTCTCATTGAATTAAGAGTTAAAGATTGAAATTGGTAAAACTACAATAGACCAATATTTCACAATAGATATATATAGTAAACCAAAAACATAGCTGCTTATGAAAAAGTATTTAATTGAGAATCACATTTTTAACAAAGGGGTATGTGATTAGAAAAGATTGTTTTAAATGTAAATATTATAAATTTTGTAAATGTTTTATGACAATCAGTTTTTGACACTTTTATAAATAAATTTATTATTACTATAAGACATGTTAATGTGGTTCATATTTAAATTTTTTTTTCTATTTATAGTTGGTTGGATGATGAGATGCTTGATCAAATTACTTCAAAATTGATTGGTGACAAACCCAATACATATACCTTCACAAAACAGCTGGCGGAACATTTGTTGATAAAGGAAGGTTCAAATCTACCTCTAGCAATCTTACGTCCTTCAATAGTCGGTGCTTCATGGAAGGAGCCATTTCCTGTAAGTTTTCTGTACAGATAACAAAGCAGATGAGATAAAATGTAGGGTCATATGTTAAATTGGTTGTAATCTGAAAAATCTTTGGCAGTAAAATCATTTTTGTTGAGCCTGCGACTTTTGTCGCAGAAAGCTCGACATAGGGATAGTGATCCGGCGGCGGCGGCGCTAGCTAACTTCTTAAAAGCTTTATATTTTAGAAGGTGGAAGACCTGGATGCTTCATACTTTGTATATGGATGCCTCATGTTACGAAGTTTCCGTCAGTCACATGTCCAATGTCCTTGACCTCATTTTCATGGTTCATTGGTCAATGTTTAGTTTTCTTTGTTAATGTTAAGTTTATGTGACAGTTGTAATAAAGCTTTTTCATTAAGGACTATCAACATAATATCAGTGATTAGTAAAGAAGGTGAGACATTTCAGTGTGTGCACTCTTGTTACACCTTCATAGAGATTTACATATTTTATGAAAAAGGGGGTTGTAGAATTAAGATTTGCATATTTTATGAAAAAGGGGGTTATAGAATTAAGATTTGCATATTTTATGAAAAAGGGGGTTATAGAATTAAGATTTGCATATTTTATGAAAAAGGGGGTTATAGAATTAAGATTTGCATATTTTATGAAAAAGGGGGTTATAGAATTAAGATTTGCATATTTTCTGAAAAAGGGGGTTGTAGAATTAAGATTCAGAAACTGTTTTAACAATTCCTAAATCAATATTTCTGGAATAAATGCAACTCTCTGTATGCAAACCATAAAGTGAGATAACTAAGGCAGATTTTTATTGATGATAATTATAGAAATTCTAATCCAAGAATTCAAATATAGAAAAATATTCAATGAGTGACCAAACAACAAATTAATTCACGAATGTGGTCACAAGTTGAATATTTTTCAATATTGTAATTCTGGGATTAGTTATTCTTTTTTTTACATTAACCATAATTTTTAATGGAAATAAAGTAAACAAATTAAAAGGAACAATATCTTTTTTTACGCATTCTCAGTTGTATTGATGCAACACCCATTGTTGTATGACGTCAGAGAAGTGAAATGATCAGATTTATCTCTCATTTGAAATTAACAGTTTTTATTTCACTGGGGAAATTACGGTAATTCATTGCAAACAATTTAATAAAAAGGAATATTACCAGCAAAAATGGAACAGCAAGTTTAAATTAATGCAGTGTTAAATCTGTTACATTTTCTTATGGGTTTCAGAATTTACAATATTAAAATTTTTTCTAAACTTAAATTTTTTTTACAATTGATCTAGTCTTTCTTTTAAATGTTTGGTTACATTGTTTTATGTGATGTTTATTATGTCCACTGATAAAATTGAAACTTTCAGTTATTCCATTTACTGTCAATGGTATAACTTCCTACAGTAAATTAGACACTTTTTATTTATTCTATGTTGTTTATATTTTTACAGGGTTGGATAGATAACTTTAATGGACCAAGTGGACTTTACGTGGCAGTAAGTTAATCATATTTAAAATAATTTTAGAATTAAAATAAAACAATGTTTAGATTATAAAAAAAGAAACCATTGTTGTTGATATATTTGTTTTGTCTCCTGTGGCAATGAAGAGTGGGGACTAAAAATACTGGATGTTCGTCCATCTGTCTGTCTGATCTTGTATTAAAGTGCTCTCACATCTACATTTTTGGTAAGATTTTAATGAGATTACAAACAAATGCTTTAATCAGCAATTTCTGGGACATGATAAAAAAAAAAGTGGTAATCAACTAATTTTACAAGATTAATGTATAAATGATATGGAAAATTGCATTAAAAGTGCTCTCACATATACATTTGATTTTTGGGGCAATGAAATATTTGCAGGGATAGAGGACATTGGAACACTAGTGTTCCTATTTAATTACAGATTAACATGTTTAACTCTTTTTCATACATTCCTAATAGTACTTATGAATATATTTTTGATAAATGTTATGATTATGGAAGAGAGATGTTTTGCTTCAAATTTTTTACTACCGGTAGTTTAGAAATATTAAATTATTTACTTAAGTAACCTTTCTGGTTTATTTTTAGGCTGGTAAAGGAATTTTACGATACATGAATTGTGATGCAATGGGTGTAGCAGACATAATTCCTGTAGATATTCCTGTTAACATGATGATCACTATGGCATGGTACACAGCAGTATACAAGCCAAGTACAGTACCAATATTCCACAGTACCTCAGGATCTGTAAATCCATTCACATGGGGAGAAATAGGTAGATACCGAATGCAGAAAAAGAATCGAAAATTGATTTTAAAAAATAACATCAGCATTATTAATTTTTAAAAAAGATTGTAAACAAAACAGACACAACTATTGACTTAAAAAGCACATCTGATATTTCTGAAAACTGTTCAATGCATTGTGACCTTGTCAAAGGATGACACAATTAGTAAGAAGTTCAAAAGTTTTTAAATACAAAAGAGAAAAAGTTCAGTACACAAAATTGATGTAAATGCAAAACTACAAAATATTATCACAAAAAGTAGCACCTTATAATTTATGTCAACAAAATTGAGGAGGTTCTTTGGATTTCCCCTGTTGTCTTTGTTTTCATTTGTGCATCCATGGCCACTTCCTGTTCAAAGAATCTAATAAACAGTAAGGGCCATGGAATTTTGTTGTGCAAGTGCATCTTAGAAAGAAATGTTATGTGTCATCACATACACCTTATTTCAAGATTCTGTGGCTTTAATTTAATTTTGAAGCTTCATTACAATTTTTTTCTAGAGAATGTAGTTATGAATTTTTGGAAGAAAGTTCCCTTAGATTCCTGTTTCAGAAGACCAAAGGCACCAATAGCTAAATCTGGGTAAGTATTCCTAAGTCAGGCAATTTTAAAGGTAGAGTGGTAAAAGTCAGACATACAAAGTCTAATGTTTAGGTGAGCAGAATACACATATGGTTTGAAAAAGTCACAATTCTTCAATACAAAGTTCTGTAAACAGATCTCTTTCCTATTTTGATATTTTCAAGTTAATGTAAAGTTATTGAAGTGGAGTATCTTTACGATAATTAAATTGTAAATACATTAAAATTCATGTTCATTTCTGTCATTTCAAAACAGTATATCCTGTTTTAGTTGTTATTTAATTAATTTTGTGGTTTTGTCAAGTCTACAAACAATCTAAACGGAAATTTGTATTTTGTTGAACACTTAAACTTGTGGTTCACATAAAGTCTCGAAATCCACAAAAATTGTTACCCCATAACAATTAATCCACTGTAGTCCATATTTACAGGAAACAGTAATAAAAACAAATTACTAAAATGCTTTAACCAATTTGCATGAAACTTTGGTGTATTGTTTATATCTATTGACGTGAGCTCCCTTTTGATTTTTATAAATTTTGGGTTTTACGTTTCCGAATTATGGGGTTTTATTCATTAAAAAAGGGGTATTTTCCAGTTTTCGGACTCAGGCTTAAAAATGCTTTGAGCAATTTTCATGAAACTTTGATGAATTGTTTACATCTATTGATGTGAGCTACCTTTAGATTTTTATAAAGTTTAGATTTTACGTTTCTGAGGTAATGGGTTTGATTCATTAAAAAAGAGGTTTTTCCAGTTTTTTGACAATAACTCAAAAGTGCTAAGAGCAGTTTTAATGAAACTTTGGTGACTGGTTCATATCTATTAAAATAACCTCCCTTTGGTTCTTTGTTAATTTCTGATATGCCATTGAGGAGTTATGGAACTTTATTCGTTGAAAAAGCGAAGGGCGTATCATGCGCTCATCTTGCAGCTCTCTATTCAATTTGTATTGCTTGCTGTGCAGGTTACTTCATGAACCATAGAAAAGTATCAGATCTGCATAATTTAGCTATACAACATGCAATTTATGGTACACATTATATCACATACAAAATATGAACTGATTGTCAAAGAACTTATATAACCACAATTTGTTTTAAATTAATTTATAAGTCAAAACTTTGACTTTAGTGTATTGGGGACATTAAGTATTTAGTATTAAAATTGGTACAAAAAGATTGTTTTTATTTGGTAAGTTAAGTTAAAACCAATTGAATACATGTAATACATGTAATCTACAAGTTCACTTAACTCTCAAAATATTCGATGATTGAAATAAATTTATAAGCTTATGGTAAATTTAATGATGCGCATATTGTGGATCTAAATTCTCTGCCATATGAATAAATGAATTTATTTATTATGTTTCAGATTTCTGCTAGATTATTATATATTTGTTAGTCATATGATACCTGCTTACTTTGCTGACTTAGGTTACTGCATGCTTGGAAAACGACCAAGGTAAGATAAACTTGAGATCACATGATTACAACCCAGTCTACAAAGCACACAATATATGAGCTGCGTCGGATAGAAAGCGACCTTATGCAAATAGATATCTGCCATTATCAAAGCATCTGTTAACTTATTTAGGGTTGAAAAAAATCTTTATGCAAAATCTGTAACTGTTTCGAAATTGAGTTGATATAAGAACCCTACCAAACAGACCAAATTCATCTTTTATATGGTATTTGAATGTTCCAAAACCAATCAAAGTCGTATATGTGCACTTGCATAAGGTCGATTTCTATCCGACACAGCTCATACAATGAAATAATTACTTATATTTAAAATTAAGTCAAATAAGTAATTGAAGGTGTCCATCAAACTCCCAGTTTATTGGCTTACCAATCTAACAAAGATTTATAAAAACATGTAGAAACACTTAGGGTCCCAGCAGTTGTTTTCAGTCTACAAGCACTGTAAAGGTTGCAATTCTGTAAATATAGACAATGCAATTTCCCATAGGAACTCCCTTTGTGGCTAAAACTGTGCCACTTTTACTATGAAGTTTCATGAAAAATTATATCCCAGAACGGAAAGTTGATATACACTACTATTTTATGCAAAGGTCAAAATATAGGGCTGTGCGGTATATTTTCAACATTTATATGCCCTGAACTTCTATACTAAAATTCTATACTACCCTTACCTCCACTTTTGGACCTCCTAAGAATTAAATTTTAGGCACTTCCATGTTTTTCTATACTGGTAACATTTCCAAGTTATGTCTCTATGAGATGAAACACAGAGATCATATCTGGGAACCAGTACGTTAACAAATTAACATATCTATGAATATTATATATCTCCCCAAAAGAGGCTTGCGAAACAGCTGTATTTACAAAGTGCAACCTAAATGTAGTCATTTATTGAACAGATTTTAAATTATATGGGACATTGTAGACAATTCATTTCTGGTTGTCAGTATGCTAACAATTATTTTAGTCTTATTCCATATCATAAATTTACATGTGCATGATGGCTTGTTTCAAAACAAACACTTTCACATCATATAGATTTGTCAGGATTTGTCAACAAAGTTGTTGTTGTGTTCCTTATTTTGAGATATTAAGTCATATATGAAGTGAAGATACAGATTCAGATAAATTAATTATGCAAATATTTTATTTACTTATATATTATGGCCATTTTTACAATAATATTAGTATTCGTTTTCAGTAGGTTTAAAAATGTATAAATTTTATCAATAAATGACAAATAATAGTGCAGAAATTTTATTTGTTACAAATATCATAATTTAGATAATGGTATTTACAAATAATTACCATTTTGCGCTTAGTTGGCAGTAAATTTAAATATGAGCAACAGCCTTACCCAAAAAGATATTTTAATTCATATTTTTTTTGTTAGGTTATCCCTGTTATTCATATTTCTATATGAATGGGTATTTCTGAACATAAGCTAATATTGTAAATGCAGAATTTTTAGTTTGCATTTATAATTGATATTTTTTTAAGAATGGAAAAAAATATATGATCAATTATTGCTATTTTAGTAAATGCTTTATACAAATAATAATTTCTAAATTTGAAATGTGAGTTTTTATTTTTGAAAGATCTATTCAGTAGCAATTTACACAAAAAGTACATCACAAAAGTTTTTGATTTACAGTACCGATTTTCTTTCAATGCAAAACCTTGAAAAGCATAAAACAAACATGTTAACAAAATTTAAATTTTATTACTATTATCTAACAGACTAGTGTATATTTATGGATCAAATAATTATATACTGGTACCTTTGTAGAATGGTGAAGATCTACAATAAGTTACACCGAGCTATGGGAACACTGACATTCTTCACTACACATTCATGGGAATGGACATACAACAACTTAGACATGTTAAAAAGTAAATTGTCACCGGAGGATAGAAGGGTATGTATCAAACTGGTTAGAGGTATAATTTTAGCTATGTTATTACTAAGAAGGGGGCTTACAGGCATATAATGGGCCCATGAAAAATTGTTTTGGGTAAAATACTTGTGAAATACAAGTTTTTTCACCAAACCCATAAATATCCCTTATATCCTGTGGAAGTCATTACATAGCAAGCTTATCTATGGGGGAGGACTTTTTACCCTTATATCCTATGGAAGTCATTACATAGCAAGCTTATCTATGGGGGAGGTCTTTTTACCCTTATATCCTATGGAAGACATTACATAGCAAGCTTATCTATGGGGGAGGACTTTTTGCCCTTATATCCCATGGAAGCCATTACATAGCAAGCTTATCTATGGGGGAGGACTTTTTACCCTTATATCCTATGGAAGTCATTACAAAGCAAGCTTATCTATGGGGGAGGACTTTTTGCCCTTATATCCTATGGAAGTCATTACATAGCAAGCTTATCTATGGGGAGCACTTTTTACCCTTATATCCTATGGAAGCAATTACATAGCAAGCTTATCTATGGGGGAGGACTTTTTACCCTTATATCCTATGGAAGTCATTACATAGCAAGCTTATCTATGGGGGAGGACTTTTTACCCTTATATCCTATGGAAGACATTACATAGCAAGCTTATCTATGGGGAGGACTTTTTACCCTTATATCCTTATGGAAGTCATTACATAGCAAGCTTATCTATGGGGGAGGACTTTTTACCCTTATATCCTATGGAAGCCATTACATAACAAGCTTATCTATGGGGAGGACTTTTTACCCTTTTATCCTTATGGAAGCCATTACATAGCAAGCTTATCTATGGGGGAGGACTTTTTGCCCTTATATCCCATGGAAGCCATTACATAGCAAGCTTATCTATGGGGGAGGACTTTTTACCCTTATATCCTATGGAAGTCATTACATAGCAAGCTTATCTATGGGGAGGACTTTTTACCCTTTTATCCTTATGGAAGCCATTACATAGCAAGCTTATCTATGGGGGAGGACTTTTTACCCTTATATCCTATGGAAGACATTACATAGCAAGCTTATCTATGGGGAGGACTTTTTACCCTTTTATCCTTATGGAAGCCATTACATAGCAAGCTTATCTATGGGGGAGGACTTTTTGCCCTTATATCCCATGGAAGCCATTACATAGCAAGCTTATCTATAGGGGGGGGGGGCTTATTACCCTTATATCCTATGGAAGTCATTACATAGCAAGCTTATCTATGGGGGAGGACCTTTTGCTGACCATGAGATGTTGTAAACTTGAATTGGTTCTTCTGTAATGCATAAATTTGAACAAAGTTTAATAAATTACATTTTATAAGATTGAAAATCATGACTTTCCATATCTGAATATTTTTAGCAATTGTTCCTGTTATTAAATCCTATTTCCTCAAATCAGATCTTGTGACAATTGTTTACAATCATCACTGGATTTCAATGTGACAATAGAAGGACATCATGTATGTTTGACCTGAACTATATTGTCTATAAGTAGAATAATACAGTCCCATATAGGATTTCAATGTGACAATAGAAGGACATCATGTATGTTTGACCTGAACTATATTGTCTATAAGTAGAATAATACAGTCCCATATAAGGTTGCTCTCATCCAATGAAATAATGAGAATTTTGTCTGATGAAGGTTAAAAATAGGTTTTTGAAATATCTTTTTCCATATCTGCCATAGATTTACCTGACTCATATATTCGACTGAAAAAACATTTTTATATGGTAATACAAATATAATGCATAAACACACTTTTCATTTAAGTGATGTATATTTAAAAGTGCTTGTTTTGTACACATACCCAGCTGAAATGAAGATGTGAAATTGAAGAATCTACCATATATATATTGTATTTTCAGTTATTTTATTTCTATCCACAAGGTCTACATTGGCCGACTTACTTGGAGGCTTATTGTTTAGGAGCTAAGAAATATTTACTGTATTTTCAGTTATTTTATTTCTATCCACAAGGTCTACATTGGCCGACTTACTTGGAGGCTTATTGTTTAGGAGCTAAGAAATATTTGTTGTATTTTCAGTTATTTTATTTTGATCCACGAGGTCTACACTGGCCGACTTACTTGGAGGCTTATTGTTTAGGAGCTAAGAAATATTTACTGTATTTTCAGTTATTTTATTTCTATCCACAAGGTCTACATTGGCCGACTTACTTGGAGGCTTATTGTTTAGGAGCTAAGAAATATTTGTTGTATTTTCAGTTATTTTATTTTGATCCACGAGGTCTACACTGGCCGACTTACTTGGAGGCTTATTGTTTAGGAGCTAAGAAATATTTACTGTATTTTCAGTTATTTTATTTCTATCCACAAGGTCTACATTGGCCGACTTACTTGGAGGCTTATTGTTTAGGAGCTAAGAAATATTTGTTGTATTTTCAGTTATTTTATTTTGATCCACGAGGTCTACACTGGCCGACTTACTTGGAGGCTTATTGTTTAGGAGCTAAGAAATATTTACTGAACGAGGATCTGTCAGGGTTACCAGCAGCTAAAGCTCATCTCAGAAAGTAAGTACATGTGCACTAAATAAAGAGATTAAAATATCATATAAAAATTAGTATAGTCTAAAAAAGCACATTTTGTAGACCTGTTAACCTTGTCTTAACACTTATGTCAGGACATACTATGCATATACATCAGTTATATTTGATATTTATAGAACCAAAGACCTTAAGTGTCCGTCCCAGTGGGGTTTAGTTTAAACAGGTCTCACTGTATCAATCTAAGCACGAATCAAGTGTGGTAGTTTTTGTTTGATTCTCATCTGTGTCAAAACAAAGACTTTAAAACTGATATTTGTGTCCTCTCTGTTAGACAAGTGACATTTAGAAGTGTAATCAAAGACTTGTTGACTCGGAGTCGGAATAAGATATTTGGTTTGAATGATATTATTTAGCAAGTAAATATAAGTAAAACTTATCAGTTAACCCATAGCTTGTTTTAATATTGCTTGATACATTATTTCTTGAACTATTGTTTTTATATTTTTCTGTTTTCTCTGTTTTCTTTTGTTCTTTTAGATTTTTAGTTTCTATAATTTCAGTAATGTCTGTACTTTTACACTATTTACCAAGTTGGAATACTTTAATAATTTTGAGCTACATGAAATATGCAACACATAAAATGTTAGGTATGATCTCATAAAGCTCTTGAAAGGTGAAATACATGCACCCCCAAAATTATTTCCAGTTTAGCTTCAATAAAGTCACACTCCTAAACATGAACTTCTACCCCTCCAGTTACCTTTGTGAAAATTTCAACTTACATTTCATTGCATATAAGAAAATTAACTTTTTAGACATAGATTAAATCAAATTTTCTACTTTTTGTTTGAGTTTTGAGGCAAAAATGTTTGTGAAACCAATAAATATGAAAAGAATGATGTCTATCTATTCTTGAAATGTCATCTTTTTACCAAAAAAAAACCTATTTATTTGCAATTAAATGTAGGTCTGTTTTACACAACACTGCAAATACAGTAATTAATTTGTATTTGTACTGTTTTCTAATAAACCGCTAATGACATATTTGTTTTGGTGGCATTACACCGTGTAAAGCTAAGGATCATGCTGGTTATCCAGGCCCTAGTATAGATTACTATTTGATATGGGTATTGTTTAATGTTGAAGCCATAGTTCTTTACATCTTTTGGTCATTTGGTCTCTGATGGAAAGTTGTCTTATTGGCAATTAAACCACTTCTTGTTTTTTATAATGTGTGCAAGTGAGAAGTAAATATATTTGTTTAGAAGTTATGTGCACATAGTTTCAGCCACTTTGTGAAATGGCACCAAAACATATTGTAAAATAATCATGAATAAAAGGAGATATGGAAGTTAATATCAATGATACAGCAACCCAACAGCTTAGTTTAATGATTGTGTTATTTTTTGCAGCCTGAGAAACCTTAGATACATTTTCAATACAGTAGTGATAGTGGCCTTGTGGAGGGTATTGGTAGCACGCAGTGACATTGCTAGAAATCTGTGGATGTTTATAATAGGACTTGTTACAAAATTTGTTAAATTCTTTCGATTAACAAGTGCTGTGCGACGGTAACAGGAAATTGAGGATAAATGGCATGTTTGATAATAGTGCTGAAAAACAGATAACAGAAGTGCAGAAGTCCAAGAACAAATATTTGTTATAATTATTGATGTATTAGTCAAAATCCAGCTCCATTAGGGAATGACAATGTGTGAGATATGGTTATGTCAAGGCAACACTTTAATTTACTGTGTTTATATCTTCTTAAACATTTATTTTTATTTTAAGAAAAAAACTATTTTTACATGTATGTCATTTATTTATTTAAAATGAAATTTTCCTTCATCTCTAGCTTGAGATATTGCTGCTTATTCCAAGGTTGATATGTACTTTAAAAACTGCTATTAAGAACTAATTGTTATTCAGGAATGATTGAAAAAGTATGGAAGTTGAACAAAGTTGCTGATTACTTTTAAAAAATTACATGTTTAAGTAAATATAAAGCAATATGACATTTAATTGCTTTTGTAAGACAAATGATTTTTTGATTGTGTTTTAAAGTGTATGCTCCAGTTAATTCTAGTCTAAACAAAATATTGAATTGTCCTCATTGTGCTTGAACTATTTTTCACTGAATGTTAGGGAAGCAACAATCAACCAAAATAGTGTTCAAGGGGCTTAATTCTGTAAGAAAGTTAATCATGAATAATGGCAAAAAGTCTTTGCATATAAAGGCCTGTAATGAAATGAATATGTTGATACTTTGAGAAAAGAAATATTTTTCTTTCATTATAATCTGTATATATCAATATACATTGTCTTTCTAGTTGCTTTTTACATATCTTCCTTTATTTTATATATATAATATATATATATATATATATATATATATATATATATATATATATATATATATCTACCCTCTATAGGCTATTCCCTTTAACAACTTTTATACCCCAGACCTTACCTTTCCAAAACATGTTATACCACACATGGTAAACATTGTCTTCTTTCTAATATACCTTTGTGTTTTTATGTAGTTTTGACTTTGTTGTATGAAATATCATATTTTAAATCTTTACAACAAGAATAAACCAGTTATAGAGAATACAGAAACAACAAGACACATTTTACAGTTGACTTTTTTACATAAGAAACGTAACAATACACCAGAAACAAGAAACCACATTTCATAGAGGATCTGTTACATAGAAGAATTGTTAAATCTGCATGGCACAGATCATATACAGAAGTATATGTTCACTATGTGATATTAAAGTATCAGATTATCCGTAGAATCCCAACCTTGGGATATATGTTAAAGTGGAATAGCCCAAAGTTATTTATGTATAAGTTATTGATACCTAAGTATTGTTTATTAAGAAAGTATTGTATAATATAAATCTTACCTTAACTTTTTAATGAGATGTTGACTCTTATGTTACATATTTCTATTTTAAAATAACAAAACTCTTTTTAAATTAATTTTCAATGCAAATATATGTTGTATTGAAATGTTAGTGCATGCTTACATATATTTACAAATGATGATTGTTCATTTTATGAGAGTGTGAGCTCACATCGTTTGAAGAAATCATGAGTTCATGTCCATTACATGAAATTGTGAGTTCATATGACATTCTTATAGAGATGGTTTTCACATGCCTTTAAAAAAGAACAAATATAAAAATTACACAACCATCTCATTGACAGCATTATTACAGAGCATTTGTATATTTGTCTTTTATTGAGCTATCAATTTATATGGGTGTTCATTCACTGGGAAAATGATAACAATATGTTTTTCCATTTAAGAAGAGTGAAATTAATTTGCTAGACAAATGAAATCCTTTATTTACAGTATTATTAAACTTATAGTTAGTAGACATATACCTGTAATTAAATGAGTTAATGATTAAGTGGATCATGAATGTAGAAATATTAAAATCGTCTCCTTTAGATATATCATCCTTTTATCTTACTGCCTTATATTTGTTAAGATTATAGACAGGACTTGATCTGTAAGAATGCTTTTTTCAAACTTTAACACAGATGTGAAATGTGTTTTATTGCACGTTAATGAACATTTGGGCAGGTAATAATTGCATTCATGTTCTTGAAAACTGCCTTTAATCGTTTAACTGATGTCTTTTCTACAAATGCCTTATTTACAACTAATAGGGATTGGCAAACGACCATGGATCAAAAGTTGCATGAAAATCACTTGACAGTGATATGACATTTAAAACACCTACTCATTTAGTTTTTGGTCAAGTGCAATTTATGTAACATTATCTAGCTTATTTTTTATGTGTTTTAAGGCTTTTTCCAAGACATTTACAGGCAAAGTATAAATGTACATCATCCAATTGAATTAAAACATTTAATTTCCTATCATTTATACTTTGTTGTTATTGAGTGTTATGATGTTGCTTTGTGTAAAAAGTAAGGCTTCCTTTAGTATTTACAAATAATTCACCTTATTTAAAGTAAATTTCAAAACCAGCAAAAAACTTCTGATTTAATATCTAGAGTTTGTTCTGTCAAACCAGATGTTGTTTTTGTTGACAGAAAAAAAGGCATTTTGAAAAAGCTTGTGATGGAAATGGTAGACATTGAACAAATAATATTACCATTTTTATATAAAGATAAGGGTTTTGTTATGAAATGTCTTAAATGAAGATAAGTTCTCTAAGATGAATTACAAATCCTGCACCGAAGTGGTCATAAGCATTAAATTTTGTTAATTGTTTCCTCCTGATTATCTAGACCCTGTATCAAAATTTAATATATTCACTACTTCCCGTATGTTAAGTGTAGAAAGGTCATCCATCATTGAGAAAAGATAAACTTCTTATGTTATTTCTAGATTATTTATATGACATAATTAAGTCATAGCCTTCTTTTAGAATTTGGAGATGAGTTATAACAGCATGTAAGCCAATTATAACAGCATGCAAGCCAATGAATGTCTTGCTTTTGTGTTTTATAGGAATATATAACTGCCATTATTAATACCTTAAACTGTATTTATCAATACTTTGCAATTTTCAAGTATTTTTTCAACTGAAATCTGAAAATAAAATTCTTTTAAAAATCTTGACAGTTTTCTGTTTATTGAAATATCATTTTATAAACATGTAGCTATCAATAAACTCATCATAGATACCAGCTTTAAAATTTGGTATGCTAGATGCGCATTTCATCTACAAAACACTCATCAACATTTTACAGAATATTGTCCTGCAATTGAAGTAAATTGATAATTTAAATGTCAATGAAAGTTTGCAAACTTATTCTCGTATGTGTCTGCAATCCTATGTCAATTGCACTGTCAAAGTCTGGGGAAACTGAGGTTTACTGTAACTTTTTGTAATTAAACTTTTCTTTGACAAAAAATAAAGGAGATTTATGGATTATGGAAGGAGAGGTTGAAATTTATGTTTCCATAAATTTTGATATAAATAAGAAGATGTGGTATGAGTGCCATTGAGATGTATACTTTTAATTCTAGCACTCTTATTAGCCACAACTATCTCAGTGGTCATGTGGTTCAGAGTCAGAATAATGTGTTTGCATAGGGTGACACATCTTTCTGCAGATTGCTACCTTGTGAACTAGCAGGCAAAAACAGCTCAGCCTGTTGGTCAAATATAAAGCAAGTTTCATATTCATAAATCACATTAACATGTCTCATCTTTATTTATGATACCTTAGTCTGGGGGAACATATTTATTTATTAGTTGTAATTAGCTTCGAGCTAGCTTTCAGTTACTTCGAGTACTTGAGATCAGTACTTGGTGGCTTTTTTCATTATGTTAGTTGTTTGTTTGAGCTTCTTGCTTCCAACTGATTTTAAAGTTTGATCTTATAATGAGCTGTTACATCATTGTTCCAACTTAGGGATATAGTTGAATGCTCACAAACATGTTTAACCCTGCCACATTCTTTCAATGCCCTTCCAAAGTCTTGAGCCTTTAATTTAGTGATCGTGTTGGATTTTGACTCATATTTGTTTTTTTGTTTATAAATCTCATTAATCAGTTCGGTGACCTATAGTGGTATCATTGGCAATCAAACCACATCTAATTTCTATAGGTAATATTTACCACTAGACATTAACCTCGCATCAATCATCATCATCGTATATGCCACACTGAGATGAACTGTGTGATCAGTTGTTAAGAAAGGTTGCGGTAGAAAAAGTAAGAAGAAACAAAATGGTTCATACCATAGGCAAAAAGGAGAGCGAAACAAGCAACTGTCCACAAAACAATACACAAAAACTTAACACTGAGCAACACTTACCACCATTGTATATTGAATGTGTGGGTTTGCCAAATATATTCTCTAATTTCATGTTACCGAAAATTGACAATAGTGGTACTGGTAAACTGAATCTGAGACCCCCCCCCCCCAATAAACTATTTTCATATTACCGAATTTTGACTATGGATTTTATAATTTTTCGACAGGTTACCTTCTCTGTGGTAGGTCATCCTGGTACTCGGTCAAGTAAGAGCTATTACATATTACCAGCTCTACACAGAAAGCAAGACGAGTTAAATATCTGTCAATGAAAATCCAGTGACAATTCATATTTTATTGGGATGTCCATTGTGGGTACCAGGCATGTATAAAATTCAATATAAATATAACCAAGAGGCTTTTTAGCTTCTGCATTGCTTCCCTGATAAAAATATGCCTTTTTTTTTCAAATGTACTGCTTTTTCGAGTTGAATCAAAGCCATTGTGGTTTTTTTTCAAGTCGGTTGAAGAATCTGTCATAATGCTTATTTGGACTTTTATACTATCTTTTTATGTAGAAATTTCATTAGTGAATTTGATGTGAAAAGATTTGTGACAGATTTATTTATTTGTATATCTTAGTATATGTTTGTATGTGGTAAAACATTGAATCTTTATATACATCTGTCAATTTTCTGTAATTAATATGATAGACTTTAATCCTAAATTCATACTAAATGTGTGAAACATTATGTAAAGGGGAATATGTAACAATGATATTATATGAGTAATTATAATCATCTTTCATATTAATTAATGTGTAGGCTGTCATTTATGACTTAAGGTTATGCATTGTCATTTTAATTAGATTCAAATTCAAATTCAAATTTCAAATTCAAACTTTATTGTCATATAAATAAACTTTTATGATTTGTGACTAAAACAAACATGATAAAATATAAATGACAAGAAGAAAGCATGTATAATTATTATAAACAAACTAATTAATACATATAATTATATAGAATAATAGTAAATAATTCGATCATTATGAGTCCCCTACCCTTAGTACTAATGGCTGCTTTATAAATGAACCTATGATTTCAACTTGCTTTTGTGTTGATGGGCAGAGAATAAATTTCATTTAAGCCTCATCATTTAGGTCAATAAAATTTTCAATACAATTTGCCTTAATCATTTTTTTAATTAGAGTATTGCTACAAACATGTCATGTTAAATAATTAAGTATTATCTATTTGCATGTCTAGTGTAAATATTGGTTGATAACTTTGTGAATATAAAAACAAATATCATGGAAGTAAAATGAAAGTCAATATAATACTTCCGTGAACATACAGACACATAGAGATATATACAGTTGTTGCTGACTTTGTCAATTGTGTTATTCTTTGGCTTGTAATTAAATGAGAAAACATGAATGAATGTGTTAGATATTCGTTAACTGCAACAGCTAGTTCTGTCATTGGTGTCTTGATATTAATGTTCTTCTAATGATTTCACAAATAAGATCATGACCCTCTAACATGAGGGAGCCAAGCCAGGCAGCATCCTTTTTAT